TTAAATGATTTTTGTTTATATTACTCTTGTATGCCAAAAGAAGTCAGTGTGAAGAGGAAGATTAATGCCTGTGCACTCGAGTTACTTTTATGATCCAACAAGTTATTTTTAATGTTTATATACTGTTTATATGTATTTCGGATTATAGAATGCGGTTTGTGTATAAGTGAATTTCGTATGTGTTTGGATAAAAACACTCCCAAATATTATCGCTTATGTTATTTCAAGAATTTTGCTTCCTCTTTTGTGTTTTCCGCAGGAAATTAGTGATAATGATGGTTTCTGATGGCAATTTTTCCATCGCTTCGCAGTAAGCAAAGTTAATATTTCAGTTTTAGACAAGATATTAATCCACAACTGAATTAACCGACCATCGATTAATCGAGAATTGACTGTACTTTGAAGAAAATCCCCATCAAAATAGCCTCTACCTTCATCTTTTCTAAAGTTTTTCCACCCCATAGCCCGATGGGTTAAGATTTATATTGTTTCAAAGGAATCACCGTGGCACATTGCTTACAGCAAACCGAACTCCAATAAACTTTACGCAAACTTCTCACTAAAACCATTAATGCACCCTTAGTTAATTGCAAGCATTTAAAGACGTTTGTAACACCACATATTATGTGCTTAAGATCAAAAATTTATTTTATAAAATATTGTCTTTTAAATTAAAAAAATCCATATTTATTAAAACTCATTTACAGTAGATTTATTGATGAATTAAAATCAGTCGAAGCTCTTTAAAACAGTTTCGTCTGAACCGCGCTAGTTGAAAATAAATCTGTGAAACGTCAGTCGCAATTTAATTCTTATTCATTTGAAATCAAAAGAATGGGAGGAAAAAGAATATGTAAAATGTAAAAATGTAGAAGTGAGTGAATTTCTTCCCGAAATTGAATTGTGTTCTTTCCGAAAAGACTTACGCGACAACTCCAGATTGTTCAAATTTATGAAAAGGCAACACGAGTTATCCTTCTAAAAACACCGAGAAACACACTGAATCATTAGAAAATGCGGACGTATTGTAAAAGAGTATGGCTATTAGGTTGCGTTAAAATCTTAAACATGTGTTCTGAAGGTCAGAAAAATTCTCCGTTATTAAAAAATTAGGTCTAATGTAAAAACCACCTCGAGAACAGAAGAAACGAGTCAAAAGCTTTAGAACATTGTATCAACTTGACATTGAGAAATCGTCTGCTTCCGCAGCCTCTGCGCGCCGGCCGTGCGGCGGCGCTGCAAGGTCGAAGCAACTTGCGAATCTCGTACTTTGGGTTTTTCCCAAAATGTTTTTCGATTTTAAGCTCGTGTGGGTCAGCATTTAGTTCCGTCAAAAATCTAGAGTTAAGAATCAGTCCGAAGAACATCGATGAAAACGAAAACCGGTTTAGTTGTTTTCTCTCTTCTCCCCACCTCCTTCATTTTATTTCCCGTTTCTTTTTTGTCTTCCTTGCTCGTCTAATTTTTCATTTATTCTTTTTCTTTTTTTGCTTTATTACTCTTCAGCAGTGGCAATAAGGTTGATTTATCGCATAATTGGTTAGATAACAGTGTACTTTTGTCTTCATGTGAACAGAAGCGTTAGTATATCTTTTGTCTCACCTATTTTATACTGTATTACAGCGCTTACGATTATGCAATAGAAACTCTATTGATGTATAATGCTATGCTGCTTATAACGTAATACTTTGTGACTATAATACTACTTTAACGGTAATTAGAAGAAGCATTATAGAATTTTAAAATATGGTTTCGTGTTTGCTTGAGTAACCTGAGTTACTGCAAAAGTTATTAATCACAATCTATAACAGGAGATTCCTATCGCAAAAATCAATAATTATAGGTCTTTAGAGTGCAAAAAAATATTAATTGTTATCTGCTACCAGTTTGAGCAATTATTTTTCAATCCATTTTCATTACTGGAATAACCAGTGGATGCGCATTTATTAATTAATTATTCAGCTAGTAGTCTTCCTGTTTCTATAATAGTAACAGATATTAATAAAATCATCTATTAAGAATAAACTGCATTCAGTTTCCAGCCTGTCTAACAATATTACATTTATACATATTACAGAATTTATTAAAAAGTTCGTTAGTAAATATAAATAGGTAACCGTATTAATAACCTTAGATACTGGTAAGCAAAAGGTATGTATTTTCACTAAGTTAAAAAAATAATCATTTAAAGAAGAATACGAGGTTTATTTATAATACATATAGTAATATAGTAATTAAATAATTGTGTAGAATAATATTTTCAAAAGGAATACATACATCAGTAAAGGCATAAAGTAAGAAATTTAGAACTAATTTTAACATTTAATGGATTATTTGAAATTCATTAATTATGAATTTCTGTTTTAGTCTTTGTGAAAAATTAGTTCACAATTTCTTACTTTATGTTTTTACTGATAATTTTTCAGCAGCTTAATGCGCGAAAATATTAAGCAGGTTTATATTTTTTTTAAAAAATTGTTTTGCGTATATATATATATATATTTATATTGATAACAACTGAGGAGAGGGGAGGAAACAAAAGAGGGGTAAAAAATTAAACATATTAATAGTAATCATAAAACTTGAGAACTGTAAAAATCTTCATAAATAACATGTTAAGTCATAAATATTAGATATACGTCATAAATATTAAATTTAAAATAAATTTAGTTAATACTAAAGAGAATTGAAAAAAAAAAAATTACAGGATCTGTACAATTGAAACTGAACACATTGAAAGTGATAAACTTGAAATACAATAACTAATTGCTCACGAACAAATTATAAATTACTGAGTATTTAATAGCTTATCACTCTAAGCAGATTAATAATCAACTAACGCACCATCCTTTGCAATTACCATTCTCTCCCCTCTCTTCGACCACACATACGTAAGCCTATACCCTCATCTGTCCTAAGGCTCTTATCGCAGTTTCAATGCTTTTTAATTGCAAAAAATAAAAAGAGGAGTCAAACACGTGAAAATAAAATATGTGACCATAAATTAAAGATTAAGAAAAATATATAATAAATAAGCAAAAAATTATTATGAAAGGTATAAAATATGGTATGAAACAAATAAATAAATAAAAGCTAATGCATAAAAATGTCTAACTAGCTGTGTAACATAATACAAATACACAAGAAATGTCCTTATAGATTATAACATCGTCCTTCCTTAAAAGTCTGAACGTCTTAGAGAGAGCCGTCCTCAAGACCACACACAAGTGATATTCATTTACATAATATGAAGTAAATGCAGAACATAATAAGAAGTACAGAAGTAAGTCAACATAATAAGGTAGGAAGTCTACCCGTAGTGAGCTACCGTAAGTAATAGGCTATCACAGTAAGCTACCGTAAGGAGGAGTAGTCTACTGTACTTTAGGATTAGTAGTTCTTTATCTATGCACCATCACCACATACAGTCTGTTAATCATACGGAAGAGCTCCTGTTAATTTAACTGCAACATATGCGTTATCTCTAAACTACGAATTCGACTGGGAATTATTAAATTACTGGAATTCGACTACACTTGATATCTTTCTGTGATTTTTCACGAACTAGTATTTTAATTTATTTTTCATCCTCTCAGCTACTCTGCTGTCCTGTTGTTATTGATGCTGACAGGGAGAGAAATCTTCTGCCAAAAATCCTTTCAGAGGGGTCTAAAATCCGATATTTCTGTAAACTGGTCTTTTACATGACAGCAAGGAAAAAAAAAAAACATTTTTAGTCCCAGTTTTGTTGACGTTTGCAATTGAATGGGCCCAGGATCGTTTAATTAAACCTTTGGATTATCCCGCCTGACTGTATGCAAAGTAAACATGTCGAACTCACAGGTCGAGGGCTATAAGTTGTTTTTTGACTCATACTCCTATGCCGAGAAAATAGCAAAAATATATAATTATGATATATGCATAAATTTGGAATTCCACCGAATATTAAGAAGTACATACTTGTATATACTATCTTGGTTACAAAAAAGGACGATCTGTTTACAAAATACTTTCTGAATTAAGTTAGGAATGCGACAGCACATTTGCAAATAATATTAACAGAAATTCAGTGTGACTAACTCTAAAACAAAAATTCAATGAAATTACGAATTTTTTTTATTTAAATTAGTGAATTAAAAGTCTGATGCCTTTTCTTTAACAACATAATACAAATGAAAATATTTACTAGAAAATAGCGATAGTACGAAACATTTTGTGACCTATTTAAACTAAAACCGATTTTTTGTCTAACTCGAATAATGCCCACCAATGTAATCCAGCTAGAGGCGTCGACGGTTTGAGAGCATTCAAATCAAGTACTCCATTTAAAAATGATCCTAAAAACTTTTCTCAGTTCAACAGAATTTATGTTACGAGTTATGTGAATAATATTCTGAATTAAGTTTTAATCTTGTATAAATAAAAGTGTTAATTTAAAAACAAAATCTCAAATTAGTCTCATTTTTATCCTGGATGATCTTTAGATATTCCTTTTTGGCACAGCCTAAGAAAGTATGAGTCAAATTGCGATGATATTAAATAAAAGGAAAACTGTGATTCACTTCTAATAGTTACTGCAGATGTTCTTGAAGAACGCATGAATAGTTTCTAACGATTACTGTATGTGTCAATTGAAGCCAAAGAGAGCATCCATTTAACTGAAGTGGCTATACTTAATGTGGCAATAAATAAATGCATTCATTTGCAAGGCATGGCTATCATGGGATACGATTGAGCCATAGTAAGGAAAACGGACTACACTCCTCTTTTTAATGAAAATGAAGATATTCTCACGCAGATGCTTAATGGTTACAGCGTTTTTTAGGAAATGTTTGTGATTGTGCTTATCGTTTGTTAAGATTTATGAGAAAAATCGATATAAGCAGTACAACCGGCACAAATTGTATGAGCATAAACGATATAAAGTGTATGACAATACAGTATTTTATTCAATCCAAGAACAGAAAGCATTATTAAGAAAATGTGAAATCATTACTCACTGTAACTTTTTGTAGCACAACTTCAACAACTCACTGAAGCATCAGTATATATGTGCGAGACGATTCTTCTTGAATGTTGGCCCACATTTCCTAACGAACTACCGTACTTCCCCTAACACATTTCCTACAATTTCGTGCCTAAGAACTGCTCATTGTGCGTAACGTTGAGCCGCCGCCAACGCCATCAGATACAGATGAGGTCTAGATAAGACGGAAATTCTGACAGTGAAGTTGTGTACTCTCTTGGTTTCAATAAATTTATGCAATACATTTTTTCCTGTTAAATTGTAATCCAGTTAGCCAATAAAAACTAGTCCGTCGACTAAAGAATTACTATTTTGTTTCAAATTGAGTCCTCAAATCAAGTTGCGTCTTAGACAAGGGAAAATACAATGTCTCCCTTTGCTCTGTATTTTTTTTTTTTTTTTTTTTTTTTTTTTGGGCGAGCATGAAGCAGTTGCTGGACTGACTTTGGAATACTTATTAAGACAAAGAAAAGAATTAAAAAACGTATTTAAAAGATTGGTATCTATTTAACTAATACTGTCAGCGACAAAATGTATTCACAGAAACAGATAAAACTTTCACCTTTAGGTTTGAAACGTATAACAATTTTGCATTGCATTTAGTTCAATGAATCATTTGAGAACTTAAGTAAGTTTTGATTATTTGAGAACTTAAGTAACTTAAGAAGTATTTCATATCTAAAATTACGTTATATTCGTAATACCTAGAATTCCAGCGGTGGGTCATAATGACCTATTGATTACAATGATTTATTTTCGAATTGCTTACGCAAAGGAAATGTCATTTTCATCAAGATAAATTATTTTCTGTGATATTACGCTTTAAAAAAACAGCATATTTCAGCAATAAATGTTCATATTTTGTACTATTTGCTCTCATTTCAAATAAAATGAAATGAAAGCATCTTATAAAAGCATGCATATAAGAACTGTAATTTTAATTAACTACGCGTAAATCAGAAGTAATATAATAACATAAAATTATGTTATAAATTCATAATCCTAATTCAGTATTATTATTTACAGTAGTATATTTGCCGTTCTGGCACTCAGTGAAAAATATTATACTTTTGACATAGGTACGATCCATACAAATGCATTGCATTACATATCACATACAGCTGTGTTTTTATTATCATTGCACTTTAAAACTTCGCAATGTTAAAGACATGTCTTTCGGCTCTCTTGCTATATACTTCTTTTTTAGCACTTCAGCTACTTAAGCATATACTTTATTCTACTGATTTTTTCAATTCACGAAAACGATTTAAGCATTTATAATTGCAAGATCGCAATTAATGAAAATATATGCATCAGTTAGTTTAATTACACAAAATATTTGTTAGTCTTTTTATCCTCAGTATCAAAGGCAAACTTTGTGGAATTGTAAACACTTAAGATTTCTGGAGTTTTTGTTTTTCCTTATATTTCTAAGTCATCAGATTAATGTTTCTGTACTTCGTAAAAGTCGTTGAATAAAGTTCTTTTTCTTTCTTTTATAAATTAATCGGTAAATTCCCTTCTTGTTGTATTAGGAAAGGCGATATTAGCGCAATTTTAAATTCAAACAGATAAAACTTGAAATCTCAGTCCATAGTAGTTCAGTCCACTTTTTAACGTTTTCTACAAGATTTATAGAAGAGAAGAAACTGTAAGTTGACATATTTCAATCTATGTTGAAATAAAACCTCAATAAATGACTCACATACACTTTATTCACTTGATTTTCAATAATTTATTTGCTAATATTGAAATAAATTTATTACATACGGGAGTCTGTCTTGGGTGGACATTTAAAATTAGGACATATTTGTCATTTTTCAATCTTTCTGATCTTGCGCATTTTACGTCGAACGAATACATCAAAGGATTTCCAGAACTCAATTCCATCCCATAATTAAAAAAAAAATTAGCTAGCTAAATATTTTAGCAAAAATCAAAACAAGATACTCCCTTTTCTTCCTTGACTCTTCAAACATACAACACTGAAAGGAAAGCATTCAATTCAACCACAGAAGTGCTTCACGTTTTACCGTTAGACTTTCTTTTTGAACCTCTGTGATCTTTTTCTTTTATGTTCAAAATCTTATCATCTAGGAAATGTCTAAGAAGTTCTAAGAAGTTACAAGACTATCATCAGAAACACTTCTTTTCGAGTAAAATCCAGGTTCTCGAAATTATTTAATGATTTTTTCAACAGGTCATCTTCCAGAAGAATTGTAAGACACTAACTCCATTCTTCATACTGTTTTAATTCTTCTCATCTCCCTTGACATATACAAGGAGTGAGATGTTGCTGTATTTCACGCCGAGCTTTTTCTTTTTGAGGTGTTTCTGAATTTCTTGGTCTCCCTTCATCTCTTCTTCTGCATGCATTTGTATTATTTTCATTGCGAAATAATTGCTATTGAGAGACTACTTATGATTAAATATCTAAAGCTGTTTTGCTCTCAGATGGACTACTGTTAAACAGCGGCATTGTAAGCGCATTTTCATCGTAAATGTCATTATCATTATTATCAAACGTATCAATATTCTCCAAAACTATCTATTTACCAGATTAATTTTATCAAAGTTCGTTTAGCAATTTAGTTTAGCAAATAGTTTTAGTTCGTATAGCAAATCACCAGCAAGAGGGTTTTGTGATGCACCAGTTCTTTACACTTGAAAAAGAATGATATTCATCAATACGTATCTCGAAGCTTTCAGCTTACTGGATGCAAAGTGCTCTTTTTATGACTCCGTATCTAATCAATAACCAGTTTAAATTATTTTAAACAAAGAATTCAATAAACATGGGCATTCAAGATGACGAGCTATATAAATAATGGCAATTTTACGTCAGAAATTTCGTTTCGACTTTCCTAAGTTCGAATAAAGACAAGAAACATCCATGTAGCTGAAGAGGCCGTTAAAGAATTCACTAGAATTCGTATTATATTGTACAGCAGATATTTAAAATTAAAAGTATATGGACACGTTTTGTTAAAATTGCTAAATATGCTGCATATCACTGAGAAAAATTAATTAAAAAATTAACCTCCGATCTTAAATCTTCTCATGACAAATTTATTAATTAACAGTGTCATTTATGTGACTGCGTTAACCGTTTTCAAATTTGTCATCTGGAATATAATTGAATCAATAAAACTTGTATTGTTCGAAACATATTTCATTTTGCTGCTGTATTTCTTGCTTTTGTTCAGAGAAAGCTGCAAAAATTCGTGTTAAGAATATTAATAGACACCCATGCTTTTGAGTAAAAAATTATATTTTCGAAATCTGATAATCTTATATTATAAATGAGTAAAGTTCAACTGAAAATTGCTCATGCGTTTAGGAATTGAAGAAACTCAGCTACAGAATACTTATTGAGGCAAAATAAAGAAATATAAAGCATATTTAAAAGAATTGCATCTGTTTAAGTAATAATTGTCAGTACCCAAATATAATCACAGAATTAGATAAAACTTCTATTTTAGGATTGAAATGCATATCAATTTCATATAGCATTAAGCTCAATGATATCTTGATAAATAAATTTAAGTATTTTCATATCTAGAATTACCTGATAACCGTCATACCTAGAATTCCAGGGGTGGGTCATAATGACCTATTGATTATAATTATTTATTTTCACATTGTATACGATGCAAACGCAAAGTAAATGCCATTCTCATTAAGGTAAATTATTTTCTGTGGTATTATGCATTTAAAAAACCAGCATTAATGTACTTTGTGATTAGAAATCCAAATCCATGAGTTACCACATTAATATATGAGTAATGAAAAACATTGATTTTCCAGTTTTGAACAGCAAATTTAGTGTATATTGTGACATGTTAGCAAAATTTTGAATACACGCAAGGTCAGAAGTACTTTCATATTTTATTCTTAAGCTGATACATATTAAAATATTTGGGAAACAAAAGTCCATACGTATCTACGTACTATAAAATAACTTACGGGCACAGCTTTTCAAGCATGAGTATTTCTGAAAGTGATTAACATTTATATAGCATAATTAGAAAGTGTACCTAATTTAATAACTGTCATATTCTATAAGATCACTACATTCACAAAGGACCAAAATTGCCTGAAACCATAGTTGTTCATATTAAGGAGATTTAAATACAATATTATTATCTCTGAAAAACTATGTTTCCTTATAAACTAACTGGTTTAAACTTTAAATTTATAATAGGGCCTTTATTACTATTTAATGAATAAAAACATAAACATAGGTTTTTATCTATAATACGCCTTTTCATTATAATACCCTTTGCAGTTTTACATTTTTTGGCTAATAACTGGCATGACTAATTTTGTCAAAATATTATTGAAATGTATGCTAACAATAAAGAACTTTGTCAGTTCTTAATCAAGAACTTTGATTTTAGTCAAACCTTTTCTTCTGTTCCAATATTTTTTAAGCACTTCAAGACCATTAAGTTGTGCTTTGTTTTCGATACATAGATTTTGTTTCTCTTTGCCTTTCAGATTGATTTTTTTCTTTGACAGCAGTATTTAAATACACGTCCTAAAGGATATAATCTTTAAAGTAAACGAAAAATCAGCATTCATAAATAGCTGAATTTAATTGCTAGGCTAATTTATGGATTATGGGAGAACAACATACAGTTTATTGTCTGGCAAATGGCCTATTTTATATACATCATTGTTTATTCTAATGATTTTCTTCATTAACAGTCGGATCTAGTTTAGACAAAAAACATAACACACTTTTTTATATTGCATTTTAGCCATGCCAACAGAAGTTAAAGAGAAAAAAAAAGGTCGCTTAAGACGGGACACTAGCAAAAAACTAACATTTCCATTACCATAGAAGAAAAAAAAGAATTGGTGAATTTCACGGTTGCAGGTTTTTGTTATAATTGCATTTCCTGTGCCGCAGGGGGAAATATACAGCATGAAAAAAATCAATACAACCAATGAAAAAAACAAAAGACCCAGAAACATTCATATCCTTAACTGAATAAGAAAAAACTTACAAAAAATGAATGCACTCGATGAAATGTTATCTCTTTCTATGAGGGTTTAAGGTTTTACTGCCATTAAATATATTTTTTTTGTACTTTTGTGCTCATCGTAGCAC